TGTGTGTGTGTGTGCGTGTGCGTGTGTGCGTGTGCGTGTGCGCGTACGTATGTGTGTGTGTGTGTGTGTGCGTACGTATGCGTGTGTGTGTGCGTGCGTGCGTGCGTGTGTGTGTGTGTGTTGGTGGAGGTGGCAAGGGAGGACTTGAGAAGACATGAAGCACACCAGACTCCCAACCCCCCCACCCCCACCACACACACACAGCCGCCGCAAGCGGAAGAGGAGCCCAAGTTTGTGCTGCGTGGTGGCAGCTATGTGGACACTGTGGATGGCAAGACAAACCACAAGGTCCGCGTCACAACCAGGTCAGGCAGGTGATGGTGGTGGTGGTGGTGGGTACATTTGGCTGTGTCTTGAGTGATCGTCGTTTGCTGACCTTGGCTGCACATCGTGCGCGAACGCACATAGTGAACACTAGGCGGTGTTCATGTGGTGGTGCGTCGTGACATCAGTTGCCCTCCTCCTCCCCATACTCTTCTGCCCTTTCCGATGTTCGTTCATTCACACACACACACACACACACGCACACACACACACACTCTCTCCTCCTCCTCCTCCTCCTCCTCATCATCATCATCATCATCCTCCTCATCCTGTTCTGCTACATCCATCCTACACCTTGCCTCTCCCCCCCCCCTTCCCCCTTCCTCCCCCTCCCCCCATCATCTCCAGGATGGGAAACACTGCTGACTCTGCATCGGACAACATTGGCTTCCGCTGTGCCCGCTCCGCCACACCACCAGCAAAACAGGAGCTGTGAGCCAGCACTGGAAGTGCCACATCCCCGGACTCGCCACCGTAGTGTGACGCGGCACCTTTCAGACATCTCATCCGCACTTTTTGAAAAACACCCAATCCCCAATCTCCATAAGCAACCTTGCTTGCTTGCTGTTGTGCCTTCCTCTTCTCCTCTTCTCCTCTTCTCTCTTGCTTGCCTGTTTTCTTGCATCAGCGGCAATTGTTTTAAACCTTTGGCGGCGTGCATATTGAGATGTGGGTTGGGTTTGGCTGTGTTGGACATTGCATGTCCCGCCTGTCAGTGCGTGCATGCATGCAAACAATTACAATAAAAATAAATAAATTCCTTCCCTTCCGCCAAGCCACGCCAATTTTGCTACTGATTGGCCATCGTTGGTGGGCAACACCACGCAAGCGATCCACCACCACTGGCTGCGGATAATTTGCGAGCATCACACGCCAACTATCTTCATCTTTATCGCCACCTGTGCCTCGACCGAGAATGGTGCATGCATGCATGCATGCATGCAAGCAAGCATTTCCACAAACTGTGACGTGTGACTGAGAGGGAAAAACCACAAAACAACCTGGCACTGCGCGTGCCGTGCTTGCCGACTTGAGGGATCGCTGTCACTTATTTACGAAAACACACGCTTGTGCTCGCGCGCACCATCCCGAACCAAGCCCCTGTTCTTGCCTTTCCGCCCACACACAGCACACGCACGCACGCACGCTGCAGCGTCCCACTTCCCTTCGCTCCACTTTGCACGCCTTGCTGAAAGGTCTCGTATCTTCGCTTTGCCCACCCTACCTCACCTCCAGCCAAGCCAGGCCACGTAACGTCGTTCCCACCACCAGACAGCAACAACAACGCCACGCGTGTGAAACCAAAAAAAAACTCACAGCACGTCATCATCTCCGCCCTCCACACCACTGCCGCTGCTTTGCTTTTCCTCGCCCGCCTTCCTTCCTGGCTGTGCGCGTGAGCATTTTTCCCCTTTGTTTTCCCCCCAACCCACCACTTTTTTCGCACGCGCAGGTTTGGCGGTTGCAGACGCACCCTGCTCCTCTCCTCTCCTTTCCTTTCCTTTTCCTTTGCTTTCCACACCCCTCTCCCCCACCAAACAGCCAGCCGAGCTTGTGCCGCCGTTGTTCGTTGTGTGCGTACAATCATTTTTCTCCCACCAAACCAACCAACCAACCAACCAACCCTTCTCCAACGGAAAACCCTCGAGAAGACCACCAACAACACCAACACCAGCCCGCTTTGCTTTGCCTTGCTGTTCAAAAAGCTGACGACATCCCTCCACCGGTTCTTTCTTGCCTCTCTCTGCCTCGCGTGCCAACACGCCTGTAACCGCCAACCCACCGGCCACGGAAACCACCCTTCTTCCCTTCCTCCCTCCCCCCTTGCCTGACTCGCTTGCTGGTGGTGCGTATTCTCCTCTCTGCACGCACGACTTTGGAGTGAGCTGACGAGCGAGCGAACGAGTGAGCGAGGTGAAATTCGTTGTGCGAGAACCGTGCGCACAATGCTCTCTCCCACCTGCAACTTGCCTGGCCCCTAAGAGTGCCTGCCTGCCCTCGTTCGCTCTTCAGACCAACCATCACCACCTCACGCTAACCTGACCTGACACTTGTCTCGGGTGTTCAACCGTTTTGGCGCTCGTATCACATCATCATCATCACACACCTACACACACAGCACGAGAGTTGCTGTCCGCGCGCCTCCTTCACCACCAACTCGAGCCACCACATTTGGTCAGTGTGCCATATCATGCATGCATGCGGGTGCATGCGATGCAAGTGGTGGATGCGATGCATGTGGTGCATGCAGTGCAAGTGGTGCCCAAGGTGCACGTGATGCCATGATATGATGCCCACCATCCACCATCCATCACCATCCACCATCCATCACCATCCATTGCGCACTCACCCTCTCGCGTGCACACGCATATCTTCATATCTTCCTCCACCCCACACCCCACCGCCAACCAATCACATCATGGCCTTCAATCCACCTCAGCAGTAGCAGTTGTGTGTGCCGAAGCTGGTTCGCCCCCCCCCCCACTGCTTTTGTTTTTGCCTGCAAGCAATCAAGCACACGCGAATCCCCCCCACCTTCCCAAGAGAGGATCTCTGCATCGATAACACAAGCCCCATCCATAACAACAGCAACAACGACGACAACAACACTTGCCCACCACACACCACCACAGACAGCCCCATAACAACAGCAACAAACCCCAGCACGAGCCACCTCAACCATGATGGTCAGCGGCGGCCCTGCCTCATCGGCAGCAACGTCATCAACCACATCAGGAGCCCCAGTCTCCTCCAACCCGCTTGGCACAGCCTCACCCGCACGGTACGCCCTGGCACCTTGCTTGCACGCATGCACGCGTGCACGCCGTTTGATGTCTCCCTCTCACCACCAATCAACACCAATCAACGCGACACCGCACCCTCCTCTCTGCTCTCCCTCTCGGGTGTGACATGATGTGACCTCACCCTGTCACCCTTGTCTCTGTCGCTCTGTGATCCTGTTATTGTTCCTGTTATGTTCCACTGGCCGCACCCGCAGGTACGGAGGCGCGATGTTTAGTGGCCACAACCACGTGATTGTGTACCCGCAACATCAGCAACACCAACAGCAACAGCCACCCCACAAACAGCACCAGCAGCACCTGCCCATGCCACAGTTCCATCAGCAACACCAGCAGCGGCAGCAGCATGTCGAGCAGCAGCTCCAACAGCTCCAGCGCGCCGCTGCAGCCGCCGCAGCAGCAACCAACGGCGCAAACGCCTTCTCCTACGACCAGGCCTTCACCACAGCCATTGACGAGAAGATCAGCCAGCTCCAGTCCAAGAAGACAAAGAAATCCAGCAAAAAGAAGAAATCCGTCTGCCCACGCTGGACCAAGGAAGAGGTGTGTTTGTGTGTGTGTGCGTGTGCGTGTGCGTGCGTGTGCGTGCGTGCGTTTGCGTGTGCATGTGTGCGTTCGTGCATGTGCGTGTGTGCCTGTGCGTGTGGTGCAGCTGTATGTGTGCGTGCGGTGCAGCTGTGTGTTGCGAGCGAGTTGCATGTGCGTGTGCAACCGCTACCCATACCTTCTTTTCAAACTACTCCCCGTCTCACCTGAACCCAAACACACTCGCCCGTGGCACAACACCAGGACTCCAGGCTCAAGACGCTGGTGAAGCAGTTTGAGGCCGAGGGCATCACAGACGACACCACTCTCTGGCAGAAGGTGGCCGAGCAGATGCCTGGGCGCGACTGCAGCCACTGCGCGCACCGCTGGAAGAACATGCTCGACCCTTCCCTGGTCAAGGGCGCATGGTCCAAGGAAGAGGATGCCAAGGTGGTGGAGCTCGTCAAGATCTACGGGCCCCGCAACTGGTCGAAGATTGCCCAGCACCTCAAGGGCCGCATCGGCAAGCAATGCCGCGAGCGCTGGCACAACACGCTCAACCCAGACCTCAAGCGCGGGCCTTGGTCAGAGGAGGAGCAGCGCATCCTCGAGGAAGCGCACGCCCGCCTTGGCAACAAGTGGGCAGCCATCGCCAAGCTGCTGCCCGGCCGCACAGACAACCACATCAAAAACCACTGGAACTCCATGATGGCAAAGCAGGCAAATAAGGCCACAGGCAAGTCCAGCGCCAGTTCGGCGGGCAAGACCAGCGCCAGCAGCAGCGCCAGCAACCCAAAGTCTGCTCGTCGCACCGCTGCCGGCAAGGCGCGCACAGCCAAGCGCAGCGCCAGTAGCGCCTCCCGCCGCCCCACCGCCCGCCAGCAGCGCTCCCAACAACAACAACAACAACAGCAACACCAGCAGCAGCAGCAGCAGCAATTGCGACAGCGGCGTCGCCAGGCCGGCAAGGCAAACCTGCAGCAGCGTATGGGGGGCGCAGAGCAGCGTGCGCATGGCGACAGCATCGCCGCATCCGCCGATGCCCTTGGTGTTGGTCTGCTGGACGTGCCACAGCACTCGCCCGGCCTGGGGCTCAACTTCATGTCCGCGTTCCCGCTCATCAAGGCGCACGGGTTCCCCACGTCCCCGGGCAAGGCGGCACCCTCCTCCTCGTCCGCATCCATCACCCCGCCGTCCGTGCAGTCGCAGTCGCAGTACCAGCAGCAGCTGAGCCAGCTCGCTGCCAGCTCCAGCGACACGCTGCGGGCGCTCTTTGGCGGCCTCCCCTCGCCCTCAGCATCGGCACAGACGGCCGAGCACAGGCACGCGCGCAGGGCGGTTGCGCCGCTGACCAAGGAGGACGAGGACCCTGCTGCTGACGACGGCCTGCCCAGCGCCAAGCGCGCCAAGACGGGCTACTCCACGGCAAGCACGCTCAACGCCGACAGCATCTACGACGCCATGACGCGCGCCGCTGCCCTCAGCAGCCCGCTGTTTTCGCTCAACACGCCGAGCCCAACGGCGGCGCCCGGCCCCTCGCACCACGACGCCAGCGCCCAGCTCCTGCAGAGCCTGCAGCAGCAGCGGCGGCAGTGGCAGGAGGCTGCGGCCCACACCGGTGACAACAGTGGCGCCGACGTGGCCACGACAACCCCGCAGGGCCAGCAGCACGGCCGGCAAGTGCCTGCAGGCAGCGACGCGTTCCGCGGCTGTGAGGAGACGCCCACCCTGTGGCCGCTGTCCACGGCCGCAGCGAACAGTAAGCCTGGCGAGTCCTCATCTTCCGCCCTGGGCGGCATGGGGAGCAGCAGCCACGCGGCCAGCCTGGCCAGCACCGTGGCCCACCTGCACAACCACCCGGCCGTGGCAGGCCTGCGCACGCCAGAGGGCAGCCCCTCCCGCCCTGTGACGGACCCGTCGCTGTCTCCGCTCTGGCAGCGCCGCGGCGTGAGCCCCATGCCACTGCTGTTCTCCCCTGGCAAGGACAACACGGGCCTGCTCTCGTCCCCGGCGTTCACCTTCCCCACCACCACCTTGGGTGGGTTTACGCCCCGGAGCGCGCTTTCCCCGCGCAACCTGTTTACGCCCTCTGAGTTTGCCACATCCCCCGGGCGCATGCCACACGACTTGCCCCAGACACCCATCCAGCTCAAGCAGGCCCTTGCCCGCTTGGAACAGTCGAATGCATGAGAGAGAACTGCGAACCACTGTGTGCGTGTGTGCGTGTGTGCGTTGCACGCATGCAAGCACTTGTGTGCCTGTAGGCCTGTATTGGCACTGTTCCATGAGATGATCTGTATATTTCCTTCGCTTGCTTGCTTTCTTGCTTTCTTTCTTGCCCCCCCCCCTTGTCTCTGTTGTAACGTTACGTTAGAAGCCTCTTGCTGTATCGTTAACGAGACATTTCAAGTTGTTCCTTTCTTTCGTTCTTGTGTGTGTGTGTGTGTGTGTGTGTGTGTGTGTGTGTGTGTGTGTGTGTGTGTGTTGTTGTCGTTG